AGGAAAATAGCTTTGTCAAGTCCAATGGCTGCTATCACTCTTTCCAGTATTGATGGGGGCTTCCTTTCTAACCTTTTATTTGAAGTAGTTTAGACGTCGTTGATTATATCATTATTCTCTCTTCGAGTTAGATGATATGATATTTGTTGTTAATAATGAAAGTAGTCAAGTGATGTGGTTTCTGTTATCTTGTACAGTTCTTTGTGATTCTGTAGAACAATGTTCGAAGTTAGATAGTCTTTACCAAGAGCTGCAGGTTTCACTTAAAAAGCGGTTGTATAAAGCAGATTGTTTAGATATTTCTGAACGAGTTTGACGCTTTGCATGACATCCATGTAAAAGTCTCAATCTGACAATGCTATTTAAGAACATGAATCGAGTTTTAAGGTTAATGTATTCGTTTTGTAGCAATTTCCGGTGTTGTGCGAAATTACCTCTAGCTCAGCCTATTCTATGACCAGTTTCTTTACCTCCTATACTAAATCTGTTAGAACTGGTCCACACACCGAGGTATTTGAAGTGTTTGGTATTTACTAATTCCACATCCTGAATTTTATGATAATTTCATGATTGGTGCCATTATAGGTTTCATTCCTATACAAGGTCATAGTTTTGGTTTTGAGTTTTATTTCTTGGAATATTTACTAGAGGATATTGATTTTTTTTTTTTTTTTTTTGTTGAAGATCATTCTTATACAATCTATGAGTACCTATATCATCGATATAGCCATCCCGCTCATCATCATTACATTGGCCTCAGGAGGAAAAGCAGGATTGTTGTCTTTTATTAGTCGATTCGTTTGGAATGTGGTATGGAATGCTTAAATTATCACTACCCATGCATAAGACTTCATCGATATAATCATTATTAGTCTGAAAAAGTTCATCACAGGGTCGAAACGCGTTATTTGGAAATTTTTCTTTATTTTATTTTCTTATTCGATTATCCATTAGACATAATGATGTTAAAGTGTTTGTTTTTTACTGGAGATTTAAAGATCAACATATGATTTTTTTTTTAAATATAATTTTTATTTTATTAAATCAGATTTGTTTATCTTTTCAGAAATCACGTTATGGCTTCTCTTTGGCGTGTCTGGGTTGCCATAAATATTGTACCTTGAGACCATTATTAAATAAAATTTGACCGCGTGTAACTGAAAGCGCGGGAAGCCAAATGACAGATAAATAGCACCGTTTTATAAACAATAGGTTAATACGAGCCATATCACTAACTGTATTAATGCGCGTACACTTCGATTTTTGTAGGAACATGTGACTCTGATCATCTGCCGCTGAAAGTGTCAATGCTAATTAAGAAGTAATGTGTGCGCATGCCCAACCGTTGGCTACTTTCAATGCAGATTACTTCGTCTTCGCTACTAAGGCATTTTAAGGCGTGTTTTTGCCTTTGTGATTTTCCCTCGAAGGACACATAAAGGAATAAACCGCGTCTTTGTCTTCGAATAATTAAAAGATGATGGTTGCAAACTTCAAAGACTATTTCCACTTCATAGGAATTGCAAATCAATTACTTCTACCAACTACGAATACACATAAAAAAAATTATACAGAGTATCTTCCTCTCCTGATAGATGAAACCACTATATACTCTAATTCCATTTTTATAGTATTTTCATTTAGTCCAGGGTTTCCCAATCTGGACGATATCGCCCACCGGTGGGCGATTTCAACTGTTGGGTGGGTGATGTCAGTTGAACATAAAATGGTGGACGAGTGGAAATTTTGTTGAGCGATATACGATTTTGAGTATTAAAAAGGAATTTCAACATATGCTACCTGAAAAAATATTCAAAGGAGATATACAGAAAAAAACTTGCATTAAAAAAAAAAAACACCAAAAACAGGATGTTAAATGGGAACATCTGACTCACATTCCTAGATAAGATATAAATAGCCCCGCAAACAAGGAATATTTGGGTATTTTCGATAGTTTTGAGAAGGGTCATTAACATTAAAATTATTCTTCAGAGGAAATAACATTTTTTCTGATATAATTTAAGGGAAGACCAATTATAACAAAAAAATATTCTCTGAATTTTTATTAGATGTTAGTAATGTATATTCTTTTTAGTGTATATTCTTTTTTATAATTATGAACAAAAATCTTTTAATTTTATACTTGCAACGCTAACCCTCACCATAAAACTAAACTTGACCATAAAAATAAATTATATATATAGTTTTCAATGGTTAAGTTTGCTTTCATTTGTTTTTTAATCGGCAACAGCAGCCGTCGCGTCATTTGTTATCTTCCTTTAGTATTTTTACTACATCATAAAGTCAGCATATGAACCAGTAACAAACTTTAACCAACAATTTTCGTGTGATTTTGAATATTTACTATACAGTTGGGCAGTGAAAGTTTTTCCATGTGAAAGTTTTTCCATGTGAAAGTGGGCGATGACGCAAAAAAGGTTGGGAAGCCCTGGTCTAGTCCTTAAATAAATGACTGCATAATTCAAACCTTAAACCTATGTTTAACCTCCCATTCATGTATACAACTAAAATGCGATCTGAGCGGTATCTTCTGTTAGATGAAGCCAATAGTTTTTTTTTTAAAGATGCGTGTGTTTCAAAGCCGACTGAGGGTTAGTTTAAGATTATTGGCGTTCAGGGCGATCTATTTCCATGCATAACGCGCGAAAATGTAAAAAAAAAATATTCGTGAACTCATCCCCAAAGGCCGTCCTCAAACCATCTCTAACATAATTGGGATAGATTCTTCTCTCATCCTCTGTATCGGCAATACAAAGAATTTTATACTAACAATTCTCGTCTTCTTTTCCATCCGCCTCACCAGTGGTATTTGTCTCGTTTGTTCTCTCGTGCTGTCATGCGCGTTTTTATAACGAGATCCATGCCCAAGAACTTTCAGATACAACTTTCGTGCGTATAATAAACTGTTTTGTCGGTAAGAGTTACAGTAATACCTGATCAATGAAAATGCATACCATCCTGACATCCAATGCATTTCTATAGTACAGTCCGAACTCTTTAATCCGGCACCCTTAAAACAAAGCCATTGCCGGATCACAGAAAGTACCGGATCACAGAAATCTCCCCTAAATAATAATAATAAACATAGTCTTGTCAGCTCATTTGACATTTATATCGCTGTGTTCAGAGTTAGAACTAAACAGAAAATAAAACAATTATTAATGCTTCAAATAAAGGTTGTTTTTTCTTTGTTTAATTCAACACAAAAGCTATAAAAAGAAGCTTAAAATCCCAAAATATATATTTACTATACTGTAGTAGGCCTACAGGTAACCTGTAAGTCAAACAGGAATTAGTAGTGTGTGTAATGCACAATAATTAATGCTTCCAAACAAAGTTTTTATTGTTTTATGCAACATAAAACCGGAAACCTAAAAATAAAAAAACAATGGACTAATGGTGAAGGATTTTTAAAAAAAGTGCGGGACCATTATATTTACCGAACCACAAAGTTCGGGCTGTAAATGTTGATCTATTTCATATATATATATATATATATATATGTGTGTGTGTATGTGTGTGTGTGTGTGTGTGTGTGTGTGTGTGTAAGGGAAGGGTTTTAAAAAAACAGCGGCTCCTTCTGCTATTAAGCATTACTCTTCAAGTATGAATTGAGTTCTCCGAGCGCTGGCGTACAGAGAAAAACGTTAAAATTCTCTTCCTTTCAGCACTGCGACGATGGCCTAGAGGTAAGATATCTGACTGGTGTCAGATCAGTCGGGTTTTGATCCCGGATTGAAGCAATCGAACGTCTAGCCACACTGAGGAGCTGTGATACAACGAAAGAGTCTGTCTGTGGATGACTATATATATATATAGAACCCTATTCTGTTTGAAACTCTCGCATTAATTCTTGACTAATGAAAATCCATTTCTTTCTAGTTTTCAATGCATTTTATCGTAAAACGTACATATCTATAAGTCTACACATCGTTCATGCTTAGAATATTGCTTCCTCATATCTACAGATCCTTGATAAAATTCGAACAAGTATCAGCAATATTATTTGCCTTGTTCTGGCGTCTTACAGTCAGTCAGTTTCCCAGCGCTGTAATGATGCTTTCCTGTGCCTTTATTATAAATAAATGGTAATTGTTCGGATGAGCTAATCGATATGGCATCTAGACTCTATGAATTTAAGCTCATTAATAGCATGGCGACGAAGATTAATCGATTTACAGTTAGCTTGATGTAACATTAATATCTATGCTAACAGTTTCTTTTCTCGCACTTCTCGCTTGTGGACCTCTCTTCTGGATCTATCCTTTCTAGTAATTTTAATATTCAAAAATTTAAACGCAATGTCAATCGCTATCTAATGTCCTCCTGATTAGTCTTCTTTTGTTCCCGCTCCTTAGTGATGTTTCTGTTTTTAATTCTTCCACGCCCAGCAACCTCTTGTGTCTTAGTGGCTTTACTGCCTTGCTCGGGGTAAGCTCGATTTAAAAAAAAAAAAAAAGAATAAAGAAAGACGTTGGTGTTCATTGTTTTGTTCACAGAGATTATTATTATTTTGTTGTTGTTTTTGTTCGTTTGTTTTTATCAGAGATATAATTAAAGGTCCGTTCTCTATGAAGTAGCAATGATGCGTAAAGGATAGAAATACAGAATTTAAGGGAGAGAGTTGGATGAAAATAATAGCAAGAAAAATCCCTTTAAGAGAGTGAGAGAGCGAGAGAGAGTAATTGAGAGACACCGAGAAAAGTAAAAACAAGAGAGACAAACTTTAAAAGTTAAGAAATAGAGGAACTTGAAAATAAGAGAAACAGAATTTAACAGAGAGAAACTTAGGGAGAGATCTGAGAAATATGAAGACAAGAGAGACAGGATCTAACTCCAAAAGTTAGAGAGATAGACTTGGAGAAATTTAAAAACATGAAAGACCAAATGAGAGAGACTTGAAGAAAGATGAAAGCAAAAGAACACGAAATCTGAGCGAGAAAGTGAGAGAGAAGTTTGAAGATAAAAAGAGACAGAATTTAGCAGTGAGAAACACGAAGAAAGATAAAGGCCAAAAGACACCGAATCAGTGATAGATAGATAGATAGATAGATAGATAGATAGATAGATAGATAGATAAGAAGCAGAAGACTATAAAGATAGATAGATAGATAGATAGATAGATAGATAGATAGATAGATAGATAAGAAGCAGAAGACTATAAAGATAGATAGATAGATAGATAGATAAGAAGCAGAAGACTATAAAGATAGATAGATAGATAGATAGATAGATAGATAAGAAGCAGAAGACTATAAAGATAGATAGATAGATAGATAGATAGATAGATAGAAGCAAAGACTATAAAGATAGATAGATAGATAGATAGATAGATAGATAGATAAGAAGCAGAAGACTATAAAGATAGATAGATAGATAGATAGATAGATAAGAAGCAGAAGACTATAAAGATAGATAGATAGATAGATAGATAGATAAGAAGCAGAAGACTATAAAGATAGATAGATAGATAGATAGATAAGAAGCAGAAGACTATAAAGATAGATAGATAGATAGATAAGAAGCAGAAGACTATAAAGATAGATAGATAGATAGATAAGAAGCAGAAGACTATAAAGATAGATAGATAGATAGATAATAGATAGAAGCAGAAGACTATAAAGATAGAGATAGATAGATAGATAGATAGATAGATAGATAGATAGATATAAAGATAGAAGACTATAAAGATAGATAGATAGATAGATAGATAGATAGATAGATAAGAAGCAGAAGACTATAAAGATAGATAGATAGATAGATAGATAGATAGATAAGAAGCAGAAGACTATAAAGATAGATAGATAGATAGATAGATAGATAGATAGATAGATAGATAGATAGATAAGAAGCAGATACTATAAAGATAGATAGATAGATAGATAGATAGATAAGAAGCAGAAGAAGATAGATAGATAGATAGATAGATAGATAGATAAGAAGCAGAAGACTATAAAGATAGATAGATAGATAGATAGATAGATAAGATAAAGATAGATAGATAGATAGATAGATGGATAGATAGATAAGAAGCAGAAGACTATAAAGATAGATAGATAGATAGATAGATAGATAGATAGATAGATAGATAGAAGACTATAAATAGATAGATAGATAGATAGATGATAGAGAGAGATAGATAGATAGATAGATAGATAGGGAGAGAGATAGAGAGAGGGGGGGAAAAGGGGGAAAAATTTGAAAAAAAATCTGAGAAAGAGAGAACTTTGCAAAAAGTTAAGAGAAGTCTAATGTAAGTGTGTAATAGAAACTTGAAAAAAGATAGAAACAGCAGATACAGAATGTAAGAAAGGTATAAAGAGAAAGAAAGAGAGTGATAGAAAATTAAAATTAAATGAAAACAAGACCTGACAGAGAGAGGGGGTGGAGAGAGAGGGAAATAGGGAGACGGAACGATAAAAGAATTTAGTAGAGAGAGACTTGAAGAAAGATAAATGCTAAAAGAAACAAAATCAAAGAGAGAGGAGGAGGAGAGAGAGAGAGAGAGAGAAAAGAGATACTTGAAGAGTAAGAACCTAACTGAGAGAGAGAGAGAGAGAAAGAGAGGGCGAGATAGAGGGAAAAGAAACAAATAAAGCTAAAGACAAGAGGGACAAGAGTGAGAGATATCTGAAGAAAGATAAGGTAAAGACAGAAATAGAAAAGAGAGACTGAAATAGAAAAGAGAGACTGAAATAGAAAAGAGAGACTGAAATAGAAAAGAGAGAGAGAGAGAAATAGAAAAGAGAAACTGAAATGTAAAGTCGAGTAAGATTTTAACTGAGACAAAGAGAGAGGGATATATAAAGCTAAAGAGAGAGAGAGAGAGAGAGAGAGATGGAGAATCTAATAGGGTGGGAGAGAGACCTGAAGAAAAATAAGGTAAAAGAAACAAAAATCAAATAGAAAGAAAATTCGAAACTTGAATATAAAGACAAGTGAGTCAAACTCAAAAGGTGGGGAAAGAGTAAAGGCAAGAGAGACAGAATATAACACAGAGGGAAAAACTTTTTTTACGGTTTGTCAACCCTGTATGGGTTATTTAAAGGCGAAACATATTTTGAATTGCTAAAATAATTATTTTTTGTTAATAAATATTACATTAACAATTTCTTCAGAATAACAACATTTTTTTTTTCAGATACAAATCCTACTATTTAACCCGTAGCTGGGAAGGGTATTTGCGCGTAAATGAATATAACGATTCCCAGCCGGAGTTCGATCTAGGCTCTCCGTATTCTCATTCCGAGCCGCTATCCCTTACACACCCCACACCCACGACAGAGAATGGGAGAAAAAGAGAGTGAAAGAGAGAGAGAGAGACTCGAAGAACGATGAAGAGAAAATTTAATGGATAAATAGTGGTTGTAAATGGAGTTTGGAAATTGCAACAGTCGAAATATTAACTCTATCCTATGGATAAAGGCAACATTATTGTATCAGAAAGAAAAAAAAAAGCAACTGGATAAAAATTGTTTCTCTATAAGAAAGACTTCAGACTCAAATATACGTACTTTGTCCGAAGCGAACTTACATTCGAAGAAGGCGGCGTCTATCGTCGATTGTTCTAAACACACACATATGATGATATATAGTTAATTCCAAATAATCAAAGATGCCACCATCGAAACCATTTCTTATTTTCTCTGTGTATTTATTTCCTTTTCCTGTCTTTCCAATTAGGATAGGAGTTTAGTACATCGTCTTGGCTTACCTCGTAGCAAAAATAGTTGCCTATTTTGCACTGGTTACCAGAGGTCGGTGTATGAGCTTAGTTAAAAACAAAAAAAACAGCTAGTATTCTATCTTCTGTTGCACAAGATATGCAGCCCTACCGAACCCGATAAAAAAAATGACATTACGAATTTTTCATCGCTTATTGCAATCCATTTGAGTCTTGCGCCGTACTAAGGAATAAAAAAAATCAAAAACATTCTCATAATTTGTGGACAAATAAGGAACCACTAACTGGCATTCAGTCTTTATTTTTAATGGATAAATATTATCTTTACTTTTAATGGATAAATATTATCTTTATTTTTAATGGATAAATATTATCTTTACTTTTAATGATAAATATTATCTTTATTTTTAATGGATAAATATTATCTTTATTTTTAATTGTAAATATGATATTTATGTGTACGGCAATAAACATGGTGTTTATTTTTAATCGATTAATATGTTTTTTATTTTTAATTGATAAATAATCTTTATTTTTTACTGTTATAAACAGCAACGATTGTAATATTTAAAAATAAAGATCATATTTATCAATTAAAAATAAAGATAATATTTATTCATTAAAAATGAAGTTAATATATATCTAGAGATTAATTAAAAATCAAAATCATATTAATCAATTAAAAATAAACATTTACCACCGTACATATGAAGATCATATTTATTAATTAAAAATAAACATCGTGTTTATCAAAGTACATATATATTCATTAAGCATTAATTTATTAATTACAAAAACAGATGATAAATTATTAATGAAAATGATGATCACATTGATCAATTAAAAATGAAGAACATATTTACCAATTAAAAGTACAGATTAAATTTATCAATTAAAAATAACGAATATATTCATCAATTAAAAATGAATATCATATTCATGAATTTAAATACAGATGGAAATATCAAAGATAATACAATAATTAATCTTTCTAAAACAGCAATCTGTCATGTGTTCGTTTACAATCAAATCTAATAATATCAGTTGGTCATAGAGTGGTATACGCCACTGAATCAGTCTGAGAGAGACGGCACTTTTTCATGTAACAACAACGTCATTCGAAAGTAAGGATTTAGTTTTTTCATTTTTAATCGATGGATGATCGAATTTCGATAGTATGACAACCGAGGCAGAACTTGTAAGTTGTCATGGGATTTTGCAAGCCACTCTTGGCAAGGGACGGGTTTGGAGCGCTCGAAATAGATTAATTTAGTTCCAATGATGATTTGGACCGTGATAACATTTGCCGTGTCATGGTCAGATAGACAGACAGACAGACAAAATTAAATGTTCACTTATGCTATATCTCCTGTGAATGTTGTGAAAATTACACTAAATCTTCAGGAGACTTGGCTGTAAAATTTAAAATTTTATTTTATTTATTGCGCGGAGAAAAATTTTTCATAGCGTTTTTCAACAGGTAAACATATTGAACACGTAATTTGCTTCACACGTGACTGAAACTTACATACATATTCTGAAAAGTTACATTTCGACGCTTCTTTCTGTATGATTCGTAAGTGGAATGTGAATTTTAATTGTTTTACATTAAAAATGAAAATGGAGAAAATGAGATACTATTTTTCATCTGAAAAAGAATCGCTGTACAAATAGCAAAAAAGTATGTGTTTTTTTATCGAGAAGGTACCGTAGCTAAAAGTCAGGTATGTAAGTAGTTCGCTCCGTTTTCAGAAGTGGGAATATTGGACTGGAAGACCAAAATGTTTTACTCTGTAACATATTTATTTTTAATTCTGTAGCATAATATTTCAATTTGCATATAGAAATTGACTTTGGATATGATTTTAATGAAATTCCTTTGCAAAAAAATTAGTAATTTGTAAAATTAGTGCAATAATGTAAATTGTCAAAGCAGTAGTTGTCTTAACTTATATGTTAATGTGTTAGAAATAGTTATAATCAGTTAACGACTCGACAGCCACACACACACAGACATATATATTTCATTAAAAACGATAAGCTGAAAAATCGAATCATCCTTGATAATGGCTAAAGGTATAGCCGAAAGCGCTCGGAAATATAAAACATTTGGACAGTTCTTACACGCCCTTTGTCCAGAAAAGAAAGCTCTTGTTCGAATACAAGAAAAATTAAATAAAAAGGTTAACAGTGGTACCTTGTCTGTCGTTTTAAATGAAACATGCATAAAGGAAGGATTGCTGTCTAAATATACAATATATATATATATATATACCGGGAACGATAGGCAAATTGTGGCCATTTTATATTTTTAATTTCGTGCATGCTCGTTGTTTGTTTTTGATATTGTCGACTTGACAGCATTGTAGTGCCATTTGGGCGCCGTCTATGAGAAAAGGAGTGCCATGACGCAATTCACTCCGGCAGAAATTTGAAAACGGCATGCTGTACTGCTTGGAATTCGCACCGGAAGCTCCAATGCAAACATTTCAGAGTATTTGGATATCAATCTAATTACAGTGCAGAGGATTCGGAAAGAGTTAGATGAGTTTAATGGTGATTACGAAGGTACGGCAACTCAGAAAACTCACTGATCGATCTGATAAGAAGAGAACTCCTGAATTTGCTGATGTCCCCAGACTCAACACGAAGGCCTACATCAAGTGCCCTGGGTCAGAAAGTGACTTCTGGAAGACCCCATATCTGGCAACACGTCTCTGCACCGTGTCACACAAGTAGTATGGCCGTCAGACAATTTCTGCGACAATATAGCTTCCATCTGACCAGCTAACTCCCCAGATTGCAATCTTGATTATTATGTGTGGTGCGCAGTTGAAAAAAAAAAGAAAAGATATTTTTGTGTAATTTTGTTAAATATATCTGTTAAAATGAGATGTGTGTTACTTCTTATTTTTGCATAATTTAGACGACAATTTATCCAGCGTACCCTATATCCATGATTGTAATATGTGATTGCAATATATAGACCGACAGAGACGGAGAGGTAGATACACATATTTGTGCGCATAGATAGATAGATAGATAGATAGATAGATAGATAGATAGATAATGAATAGACTGTAACAGACTGTAGATAGATAGATAGATAGATAGATAGATAGATAGATAGATAGATAGATAATGAACAGACTGTAATAAATAGATAGATAGATAGATAGATAGATAGATAGATAGATAGATAGATAGATAGATAATGAACAGACTGTAATAGATAGATAGATAGATAGATAGATAGATAGATAGATAGATAGATAGATAGATAGATAGATGGATTTTAAGTAAAATATTGATTAATATCATAGTAGCTGCCAAAAATAATGGGGCCATTTACGTATGGATAGACCTTTTCGCTTTCGATCCGTGGCGTATCTGTGCAGTTTGCCATGAATCAAAAGCTAAAACCTTGAACTGCCAATCAAATGATCTGAAATCGAAAATGACAGCTTGAAAATAAATCGCCATTGAATAGAAATTCTCCCTCTCTTTCCTTCTTTCACTTGACTGTTGCTTCATTTGAACGGATTAAAAATTAAAAAAAAAAACAACATTAATAACGCATGTGGATACTTTTAACGAAATTAAGAAATTAGCTGAATTTGAATACGCCATTTTTTTTATTCGAAAAATTAAAACTGTCATTTGTATTTACTGTATCTTCTATACGCCCTGTCCCTTCAGGACACGGGCGGTCATTACTCTCCACAACTTCCTATCATCTGTAGCTCTTAGAAATATTTAACGTTTTACTATCCCTTTAATTCCCTGTTCTGCTATCTATTTACACAAGCTCTTTAAAGGTAGATTATTCGCTGTTTCCCTCTGCCTTAATGTCAAATTCTCTAAGCACTTATTCCTTATATCATAGAAGTTTACGCTGATTTCTGATTCTAAGTATAAGTGTCCTTTTAAACTCCCTTTTCCTTAAGACTTCTTCATTGTTTGGATGCTCTGTTCATCGTATTCTCAGCATCCTTCTGTAGAACCACATTTCTGTTGCCTTCATATGTGAGGAAATTGTCCCGTATTCCCTATATATAGGAGGACTGATATTACATAAGAGTTCAGCACTCTTTTCTTCTTTTTCCTTTTTGTTTCTAATGAAATTTTCCTGGTGCTTAATACTTTGCTTAGCTTTTGGAAGGCATATTTTACTATTTTAATGTGCCTTAAGATTTCTGTGCCATATTTTCCGTCCTGTGTAATAAGGCTTTCCAAGTAGTTAAAGATAAAGAAGAGACTCCAGGCGACGAAGACGTTCTACAGTAGGAAGCTTAGGCTATCAAGGACCGAGTGTGTGATCAACGATGAGAGGTTGTAAAGAAGGAGGAGGCTTATACTTAACATCACGAAGAGGCAGCTGAAATTTCTAGGACACATAATGAGGAAGGAGAGCCTGGAGAATATGATACTCATGGGTCGAAATACAAGGGAAAACAACGCGTGACCTTGGCGAGCTTGAGCAGGTGGATGATAGAATATGGTCTGGAGGAGGAAGCAGAGGGAAGGAACTTGTTGAGAGTTGCAGGAGATAGAGGGACGTGGAGAGCCATGATCGCCTACGTCCTGAAAGAACATAGCACATAGAAAGAAAGAAGGTTGTAAAATTTATGAACGTGCTTGATTTTGAGACCTCCAAGTCTTAGTTTACATCTTGGGTGGTTTCTTTTGTTTCAGATAACTGATAATTGACATCCATTAAAAACATGGCAGTAGAACAGTCTACCCCAGAGAGCGAAATAAAGGGTTCAGTTCGACATTCCAACCACCTGAAGATGGCCGGAGCCTACAACAGCCGAAACGTTGTGATAAATAAGGCAGCAAAGATGAGGACAATAGTCCGAATAATGTAAATAGTGTAATATTACAGTATTATGTAATTCTTGCAATTATTTTATTTCAAATTAATAACTGCTGTCATAATATGGATGCGCATGGGTTATTGAGGCAGAAGGTGAAAGAGACAAACCAAGTTCAAATCACTGCCTAGTCTGCTGCGTTCACTTTCACACAAAAGCCCTTTGGAAAGGTACAGATCCTACTTTTCTCTCTGCCATCGCCCTTGTATAGGTTTAATCGCAGGGTAGGCTACGCTAGTCCGTCGGTAGCAGCCAGACGAGGCAAAGAAGAACTTTAAATTCAAAACCGTGTCGAAAGCAACGGAAAATCACTCCATTCTCTTTCCAAAGAAGTCATGGCTAATGACAGTGTCAAGCAAAACATTAGACTACCCTATGGAATTGATCGGGTAAACATATATCTGTCATAATGAAACTTTTTTAATAGTAATATTCAGCCTGTCCAAGTTCCGGTAGAGGGGTTCACTCGAGATGGAGGGTTACGTTAAGGGGCAGTTTATACAAATAGGAGGGGGAAGATAACGGTTAACTCTAGACTTGAACATGCTATGATTGTATTGATCGGAGAAACATCCTCTTAGGGGTCTGTTCGATAGAGCAGTTGTTCGCTGAAAGAAGCTATTCGCCTGGCACTTACTTCTCGCCGACGGACTACGGAGAGAATGTGGGTAGTTTGCTATACTGTAGCAGGGTAGTCTAGGCCGTCAGTAGCAGCCAGACGAGGCGAAGAAGAACTTTAAATTCAAAACCGTGTCGAAAGCAACGAAAAATCACTCCACTCTTTTTCTTAAGAAGTCATGGCTGATGTCCCCGGACTCAACACGAAGGCCTACATCAAGTGCCTTGAAGAGTTAGTTCTGCTCTGGGTCAGAAAGTGACTTCTGGAAGACCCCATCCCATATCTGGCAACAGGACTCTGCACCATGTCACACAAGTAGGAGAAACCAGTCATGGCCGTCAGACAATTTCTGCGGCCATATCGTTTCCATCTGACCAGCTAACTCCCCACATTGCAATCCCCTTGATTATTATGTGTGGGGCGCAGTTGAGCAAGAGACCAACAAAACTCCTTGTAACGCCAAAAATGAACTGAAGGTAAGGATTATGGGAGCATTCACCAACTTAAACAAGGAGACCGTCCAGAAAAGATGCAGGAGATTCCGAAGTCGTCTAGAGGCCGTGGTTGAAGCCAATGGCGATTTTATTGAATAAATTTACTCTTTAGTATTTTAAGATATTTTTAAAACAAAAATAAACAGGAGTCTATCACATGGCAGGGTTCGGGTAAAAATGTCTATCATATTAAATATTTTTTATAGTAAGATTCACTCTGTACAAGTCCCGAGTGGTGGTGGTGGGGGGGGGTCACTCGAGGTGGAGCGTTACGTTAAGGGGCAATTTATACAGGTAGGAGGGGGAGATAACGGTTAACTCTAGACTTGAACAGGTTATGATTATAGTGATCGGGAAAAGATCATCTTAGGAGTCTGTCCAACAGAGTAAGGGTTCGCGGGAAGAAGCTGTTCGGGGGGGGGCTTACGTCTTACCGATGGAATACGGAAGGGATTTAGGCGGGAATGTGAGTGGCATGGCGACTCCTAGTCTTGAAGGTTAAATCTGGTGAAACCAAGGAATCTAGTTGGTCCGAACATTTTCCATGGAAGTAGCGATTGATCAGTGAGAAGCTCGCCACATCCCACCTATGAGAGATAGGATGGAAGGTGGAAAATAATTCGTCACCCACAAGGACTCGGAGACGCTTTTGAACTCTATCGAGACTAGAAAGTGAGGACTGGGCAGCTCGCTCCCAAATATAACAACAGTACTCCATTTTCGGTCTGATCTGGCTCTTGTAAAGGTAGAGCAGCGCTTCTTAAACTATGTGTCGGTACCCCAAATGAGGCCGCGAAGCGAAATGCTAGGTCGTGAAAATCAAATTCAAACATTTGCGTTTCAGTTTATATAGGTACCTCCACGAGATCGCTAAAAAGTGCACAGCATGATAAAAAAAGACGCCAAACTTGACGAAAACAAAATTTTATCGTCTAAATGTTTATGTTATTATTAAGAGGAAAGATCAAAGTATTTTGGGCTTGTTTTTTTTTTTTACATTTTTTAATCGTTCCTAGCACGTTCGAAATTTTCGTTAAAAGTCTTGTTTTTTTTTAGTCAGCAAAATTGACAGATAATCAATCATGTCAACTATTTTTTCCATTTTATAGAAAAATAAAAAGCTCAGTTTCAAATTTATTTTAAAAATCAATTATAATTTTTTCACAACTAATTTTTAAAAAATTAGAAATTAAAATGTTTATTTAAAATATTTTGAAACTAGCATCACTTAGTTTCTGCACCGAAAAGATGTAGTTTAAAAATAAGACAAAGCAGGTCATAACATTTCGCGTCACTTGACAGGTGATGAATAATGATTTCATCACGTATTGACAGCTTACGGGAGGACAGATGCGATATAATTATTTAGATTAAAGTGAACAAATTATTTACCTCGTTATTTTTAAGGAAAACTTTCAGCGCTCTAATTTTTTGTACTTAGCTTTCACCTTTACATTTACGATGCTTTATGGAAAATATATTATAAAAAAATTAAAATAAGACTGTAGAGAGTGAGATTAAATTTCATAAGAAAGGTATCTAATTAATTTATAGGTAACTTTCTTATGTAATTTTATCAGAAGTGTACATAAAATACTATAATTTATGTACATTTATTACATTTTACTGTGTTATTTGTATTTCCATTCATTTTATTATTAATTTTGATATTTCATTTATGGAAAAAATGTCATAACTAAGATAAAAATAAAAATAAGATCATATAAATTTCATAAGAAGATACTGATACTTATAGGAATCCTGCTCAATTGAAATTGAAAAATCAAATTAACTTCTCCGCACGTGTTTCGTAAAAATAAAGGCCTTAACAGTGGAGAACAATGCTTAACTCAAATAACGCAACTTAATTGTATTCTGGTTGGTCTTCCGTACTTTATAATTACAGCCGTATTATGAACACAAAATTAGATTTCTTAATTACTGGGAGTCTTCTGATTGGTCTAAGTGATACAATTTAAAATGGGGTAAAAAATGATCTATGTCATGAAGACATTTACGAAACTAAATGCGGCTTTCAACTAATTTTATAATATTTTAACAACTTAAATGTAAAAATCTAAAATAATTAAAGAAATAACAAATGATTGTATTAAAAATTCATTTTTCATCGAAAAATTTTTTGCTTTTAGAAAATATTGTCCATATTCATAAAAACAACTAAAAGCAAATAAACGCATTTGAAATTAAATAATATCTTTGTTTTATTGAGTTTTGTATGTTACAATTCAGAGCTGATTTTCAGGTGGTGGAGTCCAATTAAAAAATACATGATTTACTTTCCTCAAAGCCTTGTACTTTTGACTAATATGA